GTTCGGAAGCCCTCGGATCCAAACGTACGCTTCGGATGGATGGATGAATGGATGAATGGATGTTAATGGCTATACCCTTTGTAACAGGCGGTAGCTTACGCCACCTAGGCTAAATCTAAAAAACAAAAAAAAAAAAAAAAAACAAAAAAAACAACAACATATGATTCTTCTTACCCTTCTAAGCCAATTTGTTTCCTCTAACTATCACCAGGGAGTGTGGTATATCATCAGGATGACCTTTAGGGGATCGGGTAAAAAACTAAAAACATCACCCCGACCTCTTCGCCCCGGCGAGGGTGTCGCCAATTTTCCCCTGGTCCAACCTTGTCGGTGTTACCCCAGCACCGGACCCACTGGGGGACGGGGTTGAGACTTTGGGCCGGAGCCACGCGGGAGGGAATTCCAATTTTCGTCTGTCCCCTCCGTCCCCAGTTGTGCTAGTTAGTTGTGCATCATTCAATTTTCATTAGATAATTTCCACCAACCTTCTAACCGCCTCTTTGTGACTGTAATCCTTCTTCTCTTCCGTCCTTTCATCGTCGCCAGTAAAACCCAGGGCTTCAGGACCCCACCAACATTGGCAGCCGCCAACATTGCTGCCAATGTTGCTTGATGGGATTTTGAAAAGGGTCTATCGCGAACAAAAACGTACGGCGAAAAGTAGGGCTAGCGATAATATTTGATAGCTGGAGAACACCCTCCAAAGATGCCCCGCCTATACATCCTTGCGTTGCTTATCACTAAGGTGAAAAATGCCCTGTCACTGGGCAGCGGACTCTTGGCGGCATCTGAAATGTTCCGTTGAAGAGAAATACTCCACAGTGCGCGTGCTCAGAAGACGTTCCGTAGTCAATCCTCCAAACCGGAGATGTACTGGATGTCCTAGAAATGTACAAATCAGACTTCCGACGGATATCCACAGAGCTTCCATCCGTAGACGTACACAGAGAATACGTTTACCTGTTTATTTATTCATCGATTTATTTCGCAATACTGCAAGCCAGATTCCCGGTCCAAGCTGATGGACATTTCTAACCAGCAAACACGAAATGAAGATATCTCAGCAATGCGACAAGCAACACGACATGCATAAACAATAGATAATTGCGCATTCAAGCAATGTTAATTAGCACAATTCTGTTTTAGGGCTTGTCTGAAATTAGGTGATTTAAAAATAGCTTTCGTAAGAGACCTTCATTCGGATACTGTGCGAGCGAAAATGCTGCGCTTAAATGATTTTGTTTTTGCGAAACTGGGTTGTAATGAATGTTCTCTTGAGTGACATGCTCTCAATGAGCTTAATGGTCTAAGAAATGTAGGGGAAATTACATGTGAGTTTTGTGAGATATCTGTTATTGAGAAATGATATGCGGTTTATTTATCTTTGTAATTGTAAAAATGGAATCAGATTATCGGTAATAAGCTTAATTGGTGAGTCTCTTATATTTACCACAGATGAATCGAACTGACTTTTTGTGAATTGGTGGATGTCTTTTTTAATGCATGAATCCTATATAAAAATGCGTACTCGAGTTTAGAACTGATTATTGACTAAACCATACTTCTGTAAATCCGAATCGGAGATGTGCTGGAGGTTCTAGAGATATCGAAATCGGACTTCCAACGAATCTCCACACAAGTTCCGCACGTAGATGCACACAGGAGATTCGTTTCTGTACATTCAAATCGGAGATCTATTGGATGACTTAGGAATGCCCACATCGAGGCTCCAATAGATATTAAAAACACACACATAAGTGGCATTTCATTAATGGTCCTAATTGTTTGGCGAAAACTATAATGAACCACTTTTAGGTAGAGACGACAAGTATATGAAGAATGCAAGGCTCTGTATCTCGTGAAACCATATTTAGTTCTAAGTCACTCTAAAATTACAACGTCATAGGCTTTTAGAGATTATTAATTTGCTTAAATATTCTGTTCCAAATGAAGTTCTGCTTCAGTTACTAGTTTTTTTTTATAATTTGCAATCTCTAAGGGGTTCCAAGAACGTTAAGAAACCAAAAGCATAGGCACTAGAGTGCATTCGTGGGTAAGAACACCACGCCTTGCTGGCCTGCGAGGGAACTGTAACCGCCAGCAGGCACTCCTTCTTGTTGAAATGAATAGTTAAAAAAGATTGTAGTTAAGCCAGGAACACGTACTTCTACAGATTGTGAAAGTCAGTTTATTCTAGGTGTACCCTCTCATTGTTGAAACTAGTCAAACATTTAATGAACAGTTCCTGTCAAACAGAATGACGATCATCTCGACATCCACACTGTCAGAACGTGTAGGTTGTTTTAGTATCAATGACCGATTGATTAACTCGACGTCTTCACAGTGCTGTCTTTCATTGAACTGTCATTAAGCTTGTAGCTGCTTGATACCATATTGCACGAAAAAAAGGCGCTGGATTGAGGATATAGGCCGCATATGCGGGAGTGCAATTTTTATTTGTGGCGTTAGGAATAAAAGCGGAAATCAGATATATATCGTTTCTTCATTTAGCAAATACGAATCGTTTTAATTGAAAATGTTGTTGCCACACGTTTTTGTTAAGCCGCGGAAGCTTATTTTATTCTCGTTATGTCAAAATGTTTGCATTCTATTTTTCACCCATACTTAGATCATGAATGATAATGCACTAAAAAAGCTGTACCGTCAGTGAGCCTGACGATACAGCTCCAGAAGCTGAATCAATTGCGCGATAGCTCGTGCAACACTCAACTTCCCGAAATTATTGCAAGTATTTCACGGCATTCTCATCACACTCTCTTGCTGAAGACAGAAAGAGACGCCAAGAAAGCTCTATATATCTTTCAATAAAGACGTCTGGAGCCTGTTCACTGTTGTTTGTACATTTCGGATGAACACATTCTGGCTTCCCGCAGTTGCAAGCCCATGCCAGCACGGCAGTATTTTTTTGTAAATTATGTAAACAATGCCCTGTCTACTGTTTGTACAAAATTTCCGGTTTAAGTTACATGGTGTTGTGGAAATATGGTACACATTCACAAGCAAATGTCCTTTTGTATAAACTCATGCGAACAGCTGCACCAGAATGTGTGTATGGGCGACCATTTACACGACTAAACCTATACAAGCTGGTCCTAAACGACCTGTGCACAAAAAATGAGATGCCAATGCTGTTGCTAAAAAGGGCATGAAGATGTGATCTAAAAGGATTACTCCAAAACATGTGGTTGGATATACAGATGTACTAAATAATTATAGCGCTTAAATTATTAATCTAAATCGTACTTCTACTTTTGTCCCATACTTTTGAGCTGTTTTTAATGTTATGTTAATCTAAACCGTCCTTCGCGTTGATAGATTTCTATCTTTTGCCAGCAGAGCTAGCTAGATCTTTCTTAAAATGTTTTTTTGGTAGGTTAAGACATGCAAGCAAGAAATATAACCAATGAGTTCTTCCAACTTTGCTAGAACCGGCCTAATAGACTACAATCGGGAACTCTATAAGATTAGGCAATTCAACAAGAGTATAAATAACGCGAAGGAAAAGGTTTTACAATTCTTTTTATTAGGGTTGCCCCGCGAAACTCTGTCAGATTAGTCAATTTAACAAAAGTCTAGACACCCCCACTGAGAACAAGAGCTGGATTCAGTTATAGACTTGACCTTCTCGTAAGTTCGAGAACATTCTCGTCTGATCGAATTCCGAATGTTCTACGCACCGAAAGTTCCACGCCGAATGATCCAGAAACCCACGAGGGTACATAAGGGACTCCGCAATGCGAGCGGAGTCAGTCTCGCCCCAGCGTTTGATTCTGCTGTTACGCCGACTTCGACGCCTGCGACGCTCTGCTGTTATCTTCCCTTTTCTTTTTATTTTTGGGCACAAGTTCGCCCCATTAAACGTTTAGTTTGCTTCAGCTTTCAACGCCTCATCAATTGCCATTTGTGACAATATGCAGTCAATATGAGAACAGTGCTGGCCGCAACTCTAACACTTCACTACTGACCAAAACCCCGCCTGTAAAACCACCGTGTTATCAAGCACGGCGTGCGTAGGTTCAAGCATTGGTTCTACAACTCGAAGAGGTTGCTCAAATGTAATACTTTTATTAGAGCACCCGAAGAGAACGTCTTAAGGGCTGTTCGTGAAGTCACTGCCACTCCGAAGCTGTACAGAAATACGCGCTCAAATTTTGAAGGACGTTCTTTACTTGTGCGTGTGTACAAGCCCCTCCGATGAGGAAAAGAAGCAATATATGAATATTTCAATATTGAATGGTCCTCATTCAAAGGCACGAACTTTCACGGGGTGATAAATTTTGAAGATAGACTCAGAGAAATGAAGAAATGACCATGGGCACACAGTGTTTTCTTTTCTGCCGTCTCTACACAAGGAATATCAACAGAAGATGTAGGAGGCTAACTAGAAAACTACGGTCTAATATTTTTAGGCGGTAGCAGGGACGTATATTAGGAAACGCCAGTCAAGAACAAAGGTAGATATGCAATGCGGATATGCAGAATAAATCTGCCACGAAGACATAGAACGCGAGATTAATATTGCTCGAGAAGGTATATATAACTAAGAATTAGGATTACTATAATGCTAATTTTTAAGGAAGGCATTCGAGGTGGAGATGGTTTGCGAAAGCATAAATTTACTTTCGCCTAAAATACTTCCCACAATAAAAGTTTTTAAGAAATTTAAAGCTGCTTTTCGGTAGCCACACATTTAGAAGTTTCCTAGTGTACTACTACCCCGTGATGGATTCGGGAGTGCGACATAGATATTTATTTTGGATGGGAACGCACTGTTTTATTCTTGTTTTTCCAGCGAATTCATAGAGCAGCCAGAGTTTCACAGGTGCATCGCACGTGTTTCCGTTTCTGGCTCACTACGCGGCTAAAAAAAAAACAAACAACTAGATTCAAACTTAAAAAAAAAAAAGAAACGTACTCCACGGTTCAAGGAAAGTCGATCACGTGACGACTTCGGCGAACGGGGAATTGATCTGACCCGAAGCATACCTCCTGGAATAACGGTACTTAAGCACGGCTCTGCCAGGACGTGCGGGAGGTGGAAGTTGGGCGATTTCAACACAAAGTTCACGGAGCCACGGTAAGCAAATAGCTTTTAACTTAAATTGAGATCACTCGGTTGAGTTAGTCGAAAAATGACGTGGATTTGCCCAGTAATAGACCCCTTTCAAAAGTACGCGGCATCTAGTACCTGCTGCCCGAATGTAATGATCCGAGTTGTGTGAGCAGGCATTCTGAGCTTGTATTGCACACGAGCGCTGCACGAACATTCGAAGAGCTCTCGTGTCCAAGAAATGGCTGCTGTCAATGTTGCTCGATGGAGTTTTGAAAAAGGTCTATTGCGAACGAAAACGAACGGCGAAAAGCGGGACTAGCGAGAATTTTTAGCGGCCCGGAGAGCAACCTCCAAAGCTCCCCCGCCTATTGGCGAGGAAATCCAACTAGAGACCCCTTTAAAAACATCTGGCAACAGCGAAAATCCGCTGGCCGAGTCCAACAACATTGGGAGTCCGACACCATGCATGGGGAAAGACTTTGTTTCGGCCAGTACAGTTGTTTACACTGCGACGTTCTTGCGTTTCCTCGATCCCTTCGCCTCTGCATGACGGCAGATAGTGTTTTGCCTATCACGGGTTAAGCAAACGGCATTTCAAAACTCCCAGCCGTTAAAGATGACGAAGCACATCGCTTCTACAAGAGCCGATCGGAGTCGGAGCGCTCCTTCGAGAGAAGATACAACTTCCTCGTTGAGAAGCGGCTATCCATCGCTTGTAGTTCTCCATGTTTTTCGGTAACCCCATGGAGTGGAATCTACAAATATAAATCTAGTGCTATTGAAATGCAAGTACCACTCTGGCTGAGCTGGGCGATTTGAGCGGGATGACGCGACTGTTACGTTGTGATGGCTTGCATTATTTTAAGAGCCAAAAACCCGCCCCCGCTCCCTCCGGCCCTCCCGAATTTCTACACTGAACCTTCGTATTCAAATACGTAGACCCACACGAGCCATCGTTAGTACACGGCCATCACGGGATTCATGAGCGACAAAGATCGTGTACAATAGGTAATACAAAATTAAGTAAAACCGTAAGTTGCAGTAGAGGGTGTTTCAAAATAAAGTTTCGACTTTAAAATCGTCTGCAAAATTCGGGAACTCTACGTATCAAGTAGAAACTTACCTTGAATACGTATTTTACTGGTCGGAGTGACGCATTAAAATTTAAAGTCCCAATTTCAAATACAAAAAAAGGCCCATGCTTTTAAAAGGGACAGTTCTTTTATTTTTAATGTTGTTTATCGTATTTGAAGTAGAAACTTGCAATTTGAATTACGTATTCGAGGTAAGTTTCGACTTGATACGTTGAGACACTTATTTTTGAGCGTCTCAAAATAAAGTTGCAAGCTACAATTAATGGCCCATCAAAAATCAGTGACTGAGCGTATAAATAGTTGAAACTTGCCTCTAGTACGTATTTTACTTTTCCCATTTACACAATAAAAATTCAAGTTTCTACTTCAAGAAAACAAAAAAAAAAAAACTATCTTTTTAAAGATTTTCAATTTTTTTTTAAATTTTTGTTCATGGAGTTAAGACTTAAAAATTTACTGTAAAAATTCAACCAGTAAAAGCCATGTTCAAGGTAGCTTGCTACTTGATACATCGAGTTTCTTATTATTGCGGGAAATTTTAGAATTGCAACTTTATTTTGAAACACCCTGCAGTCGTAGAGCAGCAGGTTTGTAGTGAACCAGATGGTGCATGCAAGCGCGCGCATGATGCTTTGCACAAAGCAAGCGCTGCACAGGTGTGTAAGCGCTACAAGCAGGTTAAAGCGTGAGGGCCTATGACTTCGTACGTACCTAACCATATACCTCCTGTATACTCACAAAGCCTGGCAGTTCGACGACGGAGGCATAGAGTGCCCGGCAGCAGATTTGGAGCGCGGGAATTTGGGCCAACTTGCTAGAAACGCTGTCACAAGTGAGACTGGGGGAAAGAAAGCTCTGTCAAAGCCTGCGCACGAGCTGAGCGGGACTCAAGCCGCGTCTCAAGGCGCTCGCGCGCCCCACCCTTTACACTGCTTTCTTTCACCCAGTCTCAGCTGAGACGCTGTTCTAGCAAGCCGGTCCTGGTAGCACAGTGCCTCGCAGAACCCGGTCGTCAGCGCTCAGCTTTTGCAGCGGCGAGGACCCGAACCATGGTTTTCAAACCCGACGAGAAAAGAAGCGGTAGCCCGAGGAACGTGAGGAGCACGAGCGGACATTCCATCGCTCGGGAGAACTGCGTTTCGGCGTCTCGCCGCTGCGAGGCGCCCGTCACCTGACTCTCCTCTCATTCGTTGTCTGCCGCTCTACCTCGTTAATTTTGGCGGCCGCGTCTCGTGGCGACCTGCCAGGCTTTGTCAGTATAGATGAGGCTATGACCTAACACACAATTTACACGTTCAAGTTGGAAGCACCTTGAGCTCGCGCATACGTGAAGCTACGCGCTCGCGAGGCTGTCATTGTCCACAAGTGTTACCCCGAAAAACATAACATTTGAATTTAACGCTTTGATTTCTTCACATGAGCTGAAACTTAAAAGCTCTTCCCCCAAACGCTACAAAGTGAAATTAAAAACACCGAACTCAAACGCCCAAGGTCCGTATGGTGGGAACGGTTCGTGTTCCGTTCTTGCACTTGTGCAGGCCAACGTCTGCGCGGCTACGCCGCTGAATATTCCCACCCGACCGACGCTCGTCATCCGATAACGAGTTTATGTAGTACGAATACGAACCCACTCTGCTTACAGAGAGATACTCAGGAGTTCGTTGGCATCGTGGGCCGTAGAACTGACAGAGTCAGACTAGCGTCTACGACAGGCACGTAGCCAGGGTTTTGATTCGGGAGAGGGGAGCCCGCCCATGACGAAATTCTCTATGAGGGGGAGGGGAGATGCTTATGCAACGACGTACCACTGCCCTGCAGCCAGAGGTCGGCATTTTAGCTCGCCCTCACTCACCCTCACCCTCACAGCCACACTTACCTAAGCCCCTCACTCACCCTCACCCTCACAGCTACACTCACCTTCAGCCCCTCACTCACCCTCACCCTCACAGTTACACTCACCTTCAGCCCTTCACTCACCCTCACTGAACCTCACGGCCCTCACGCACTCACCGCCCTCACGGCCCTCACGCCCCTCACGGCCCTCACGCCCCTCACGGCCCTCACGGCCCTCACCGCCCTCACGGCCCTCACGCCCCTCACTCACTCATGGCCCTCACGCCACTCACCGCCCTCACGGCCCTCACCGCCCTCACCGCCCTCACCGCCCTCACGGCCCTCACGGCCCTCACCGCCCTCACGGCCCTCACACACTCATAGCCCTCACGCCACTCACCGCCCTCACGGCCCTCACGGCCCTCACGCCACTCACCGCCCTCACGCCACTCACCGCCCTCACGCCACTCACCGCCCTCACGCGCCTCACCGCCCTTGCGGCCCTCACACCCCTCACGCCCCTCACGCACTGATGGCCCTCACGCCACTCAGGCCAGCTTCAGATGGGGCAATTTCGCCCAGAAACTTTACGTCGCAACACCGGCAACACAGGCCGCCCGCGATCACACGCAGCAACGAATTGCTGCAATTTGCCATCGTCATCATAAAATTTTATTTTTCTTGCACTATTTAGACACAATTACGCGTTATAAACGTGTTTTTATGCATTTAAATCTCGTTAAGAATACTAATGCACCTTTCTGAAATAGTTCATTTCCAAAAAAAAACGATCGATTTCAAACCAGAACCAAGTCTTTCGGTGTCATCATCACCGGCACGAGGTATCACGTGAAAATTTTGCGTCCCTGATTGGATGCAGCCGCTTCAAACGCATTCGAATTGCTCCGAGTTGCATGGCCCTCACGGCCCTCACGGCCCTCACCACCCTCACGGCCCTCACGGCCCTCACCGCCCTCACGGCCCTCACGGCCCTCACCGCCCTCACGGCCCTCACGGCCCTCACGGCCCTCACGGCCCTCACCGCCCTCACCGCCCTCACGGCCCTCACGGCCCTCACGGCCCTCACAGACCTCACGGCCCTCACGGCCCTCACCGCCCTCACAGCCCTCACGGCCCTCACGGCCCTCACTCACCCTCACGGCCCTCACTCACCCTCACACTCATGAATTTTCCTGGTTCAGAAACTCACTCACCCTCACCTCACCTGTGAAGATGAGGGTGAGTGAGGGTGAGTGAGGGCCCTCATGAGTGAGGTTTGCCGAGGTATGCCTGCAGCATGGCGGCTGCCGTTGGTTGCCGTTGCGTACTACAGATGGTGCCTTTTTCTCTAAGAGGTCTATTCGCGACTCCAGCGAACTGTAGGGGGCGCGCTGGCTAGGCAAAATGGCGGACGAAAGGAGGTTGCTTTCGTCGTTCAACACGCGGACCACCATAAATTTCTTGCACTGCAGCGCAAAATCAGTGTTACATATGAAAGCAAAGTAATTTTTCGACCGTAGAAACCTCCTTCTAGTCAGTGCGTAGGAATGACACGGCGGAAGCCTAAAAATAATTACTGGAAACGATGTTTGTTTCTATGCTGTATACGAGAGCCAAGTAGCGATAGCAAACGACAGAGTCTAAACGACCTCCTCTCTTGAGCTTCTCGGCGTTGCCGCTACGCGGCATTGATTTCACTGGAGTCACCAATAGGGGGCGCTCTGACCCGTTTGTTTTCCCCACAACTCGGTGCTTACCCAACACAAGGCCTGTGCACATTCCCACAGGCCTTGTGGGCATGTTCACGTCATCTTCTTCAATAGAGCACGGGGCACAGTGTAATGTAAAAACACTAACAATAAACGAAGTGACGCTAAGTGCCGGATCTCTCCCGAAAGCAGTTGTTAGAGAATGCGAGCTTAACCCACTTCTGCTTTTGGGCTGAGTTGGGCACCTTGCATGCTGCATTGTTCATGCAGGCCGGAGTAGTAACAAAAGAGCACCTCTTCCCCCTCAACGAAGAACACGAGTTCCAGCCGAACGCTGACGACGCGTTCGGTTAAGTCAGCCGAGCGCTGAGTCATTGTATTTGTTGTCCCCAACCGTGAAATTCTAAATTTAACCGCTTGAGGCGCCGCGGTCTGATCTCCTCCCCAAAAGATCTTTCTGTCTCCTACCACTAAGGCGAAAATTGCCCAGTCACTGGGGAGTGAACGCATGGCGGCTTCTCAGATATTCCGTTGAAGAGAGCAACTGCGCATGCTATTGGGGAGGAGGACAGACCGTGACGGCCCAAGCGGTTCACTTTAAAACTACACGGATGAGGACAACAAATATAATGACTCAGCGCTCGGCCGACATAACCGAACGCGGCGTCAGCGTTCGGCTGGAGTTCGTGTTTTCCGGTGAGGGGGAGGAGGGGCTCTTTTGTTACAACTCCGGCCTGCACGAACAATGCAGCATGCGCGGTGCCCAGCTCAGCACAAAAGCCGAAGTGGGTGAAGCTCGCATCCTCTGACGACTGCTTTCCGGATAGATAGTTAGTATTTTTTTACATTACACTGGTGCCCCGCGCTCTATTGTAGACGATGACATGAACATGTCCATAAAGCCTGTGGGCATGTGCACAGGCCTTGTGTTGAGTAAACACCAAGGTGTGGGGAAACAAATGGGTCGGAGAGCCCCCTATAGTTCGATCTCATGCCCAATATGCACGATTCACGGCCCAGCATAAACAAAGGTGGCAGCGCGTGCTGAAGGGAATAATTGAAATGACATCTCGTTTCGAATTTAATACGAACAGATTTATTACAAAGAATTCGTAAACGGTTCACTAATGCGATTTGTGCAGGTGAGTAATACGACCAAGGGGACATCATATGGGGAAATAATGTTGACAATAAGTCAAATATTTCACTAATGTTAAATTAACTTTTTCTTTGGAGAAAATACACATATGGTTTTAATTAGAGACTTGTTGGGCGTCATCGAACGCCACTAACTCAGTCGTTCCTAGAACGACCCGAAGCAAGTGGCAAACGCGGGGAATGCGCCAAAGGTATCACTTGTGCAGCGGGAGCAAAACCAGCGGTGGGGTAGAGCGAATGATTAGATTAACCGAAATACTTAATGGTGCCCTGTCATCTCATGAAATGACGTGATTAAAAGCAACGCAACTTATTAATGTGCACAGCGCAGTAGAGGACAGTGAGGACTCAGGAACCTCAGAGGGTGCAGCGTCTTAAATATAATGATAGGCATATATGTCCGCACATCCGGTATGTGAACCAACTTACCCGTCAAAAGCGGGGACGATAATTTCCTAGGTAAAGACAAATGATACGAATGTGTCCAATAAGCATATAAAAGATATAAGATAATTAAGAACTTATATGCCTCATGTATATGTTATATAACTTCAATATGTGAAGACAAATCAAGTGCGAATTTGTTTCTTTACAACAGTGCTTTCGAGTGCAGCGTATCAGATTGCGATGAGATTGTCCTCTAAACGGATGTGTCGTGCTACTTGATTTATAATTGCTAATTACCACCTCCATTTATACTGTTGCAGGCTACAATGGCGAGACACTTGTTCAGGGAAGTTGACGGCTACTACCTTCACGTCGCCTTCTCCGAGCAAACCATTCGCTCGGCACTGGGCTACAGACCGGTGCCCGGAGACGTTTTCATCGTAAGTTACCCGAAATGTGGCACCACTTGGATGCAGCACCTTGTCTACAACATCTTCAACGGCCGTGCACCTCCAACAAGCATGATGGACGTTTGGCGAGAAATGCCTTTTCTGGAGTTGCAAGGCGCCGAGTCTCTCAAGGAGATGCCGAGACCAGGGGCCATCAAGACACACATGCCCTTTCACCTCCAACCTTTTTCCGCAGACGCGAAATACATTTACATCTGCAGGAATCCGTACGACTGCTGCGTTTCTTTCTTCTATCACACGAAGAATATTTCGGCATACCAGTTTCAAGACGGCACGTTCGACGAGTTCTTCGAGTTGTTCCTCGAAGGGAAGGTGGACTTTGGAGACTACTTTGACCATCTGCTATCCTGGTACGCGCATCGACGCGACCACAATGTCTTCTTCGTGACGTATGAAGACCTGAAGAAAGACACTGCGGCATGGGTACTCCAGATTGCGGATTTTCTCGGAGAAGAACACGGTAGAAAACTTAGATCCGACCAGGGAATCCTGGATGCGATCTTGAACAGGACAAGCCTAAAGACTATGAAAGTGGACTTGAATGTAAGTATCAAAGAAAGTTACGTAAAGCTTGAAGATCTACCCGAAGACAAGAAGCCAGAGTGGTTTAAGCTTACCACGCAAGCTATCGGCACCGAGGCGGCGAATGAGCCAATCACGAGAGATTTTGTGCGTAGAGGTGCCATTGGAGACTGGAAGGACCACTTCTCGGGCGATCAAGTAAAGCGCCTCCAGAAGCGGATTGCTCTAAAGACCCGTGGTAGTGATGTCATGGACTTGTGGAAGGACATTGGGCTCCCTTGAGGTTTGGTTCTTGTAACTGCCATCAACAGAAATATGATTTTTTTATTGTTTTACTCTTATTGAGGTTGTATGCACATTATTGATTCTTGTAAAAAAAGAAAGAAAAGAGTATTACTTGTATTTAGGTAAAATAAATCACGAGTGATTTAAGTTTTCTAAGAAGTACCCTTTTTCAACACTGCGTTGGCGCCTTGGCAGAGCTATCGACCGGTGGAGTAGATGTTGTTTGGTGTTGAAGGAGGTTAAGATTAGAAAATGTACATAAATGTGAAAAACAATTATCAGAAGGAAACGTATATCTCAATAGAACTCACCCGTGATAAAAATGCCGAGATTACACGCGAATACAATTGAAATAGCCACTTTGATTAAAACCATCCCGACAAGGGCGCCCCTAGCGGCCCCGGGCCCGTTTCATCGGGAAGCTTCTGCCAGTCGCTGAGATGGTTGTGCGTTGTAGCGGGTTACAGCTGTAATATCTCAAATAACTATTCCGAACCAAAAAAAAAAAAAAAACAAAAGAACACATTAATGGCTGAGTGGTCGGCTACAACAGTACGCAGAAGACCGCGCACGGCACGAAGTTTTGCGTCTTCCCTTCGGAGCCGTACGAGGCGGAGCTCTGCGACACATGGGTGCGACTCGTGCGTCGATGCAAGGAGGTAAGGTTTTTCACCTTACCGTTCGCATTCTGCTTTAAGCCGCTGACGAATAATACAACTAACGTTTTCTAGAGGCTATGGAACAACATGAACGCCTGCAGCAAACTCTAAAATATGCAGCCAGTACTTCACCGGGAACGAGGTCGCCCGCCCAAGCTACAACCTACCATTGAATGTTTCCATCAGCGTGTACAGGGAGAGAGTATAGTGCTAAGAATCGCGGAACGGCGCGAAAACAATTGCCCGGTTGTTGTCAAACTGATGCAGAAAGCAATAAGCGTACACCCGTGAGCGATATGAAGGTGAACAGCCCTTTTCTTGTTTTTGACGCTCCTGCAAGTTTTGGAACAGGCTCTGTTCCAGAAGAGGGCTAGAACGCAAAGTTTAGACCCCAAGCCACGTACCATTTGAGACTTTGAGAGTTAATATGGCTTTAGGAAGCCGTAAAACAGGCAAGAAACCAGGTAAGGTGTTCACCTTCATGTTGCCGGCGGGTGTACATCAGTAGCGCAGTCCACTCAACGCCAACTAAGATAATTCTTCTGTACTTACGCGGAGCTCGACGTTTCTTGCGGGCGCGCTTAATTTCGTCTGCGGAGTGCAGAGAGCCGCAACATCAACTTGTCCGTTGAAACGGACCTCCTTCGTTGTACACGTGGCCAGATTCGGGAAGGAGTTTTTCCTTCGTCATATTGGCACCACGGAAGAAGCTTTGTGGATTCGTAATCGCCTTCAACCCCGTATTAATCATGACGGGGAGACTGTCCGCTGTGCTGTTCGTCGCCATTGCTTCCCGATGATTCTGCGCCGGCAACCGCTAGGTGGCGGCGAACAATGGACGACCGCCGCGACGCGTCCTGCTCGCTCGCTTCCTATAATCAGTGACATTTTAAGAAACCTAGGACGTGGCATGGTCACGCTTCTTGCTTCACGAATCGTTCCTCGGCGTTTACAACTAGTAGCTACGGAGCGATAACCAGATTCCCGAGACTCTTCACGCCCCGCGTTTTATAAAAAAAATATAAATGATTATAGTTCATTCCAGGTTTATTCAATCAATAGCTAATTCCTCTACCCCTCATTCACGTAAAATATTTCCTTCAGTTTAGTTCCGTTCAGAATTATTATCGCATGATATAGCTGAAGTGCTCACCTCTAATATACAGCGGTAGCCTTTAAGCATATAGGTACACATTGTGGGATTAGTCGGCATATTTGAAATCTATCTTCGCGTTGTTCCGCTGGCTAAAGGTACGGCCTCGAGTACAGATGGAGGGCGCTATGTACCGGCTGTCAGGCGAAAATACAATTACACTTTTTAAGGCGAGAAAGCTAGCTGTTATTAGACATGGCAAAGTTTCTGGGACATTCCGCGGAATAAAAAGTTTTGAAGAAATATCAAAATTCGAATTGATTTGCGTTTCCTGATGCCCGGGCCATCACAGACTTCGGGAACATTACGATTTTTGGTCGAAAGAATCAGAAATTGATAATTTTGTGAATGATTTATTTGAGATATACTGATAGAGTCGTACAACAGAAACTAGACGCGTTGGAAAGTTTAATTACTGCCAGGGCCGTACCCAGAAACAAATTTCGGGGGGGGGGGGGGGGGGGGGTTTCGGGGACAACGGCGGCCATTTTGTCTTATTTTCGCCTATGAATCATGTGCATCGGTGGCATATAATGGAGAGTTATAGCAAACCGAAGAACCGGTCCCGGTTTGTTACCCGGTAGCCGACCGGTGCCACTGCGCGTGCGCAGAGGTGGAGATTAAAATCGGCTGGCTGCAAGTGCACCGACCAGGGCCGTACCCAGAAAAAAATTTCGGGGGGGGGTCAGAACCCCCTAACCCCCCCCCCCCCCCCCCCCCTGGTTACGGCCCTGATTACTGCCTATTGATATTTTACGGCTGTCATCCAAAATATTGCCCAATAACATTGCGATGTTTGTTGTTGTTCGGTTGTCGTTAGGCATCCTCGAGGCACGTCCAAGAAAGGTGGGGATTAGAGTCATAACAGAGAGTGTTAGCAGATCGTCCCGATTGCCTCAGTAGGGAGTTTTCGTAGATCGTTTTCGCCGTCCCGCAAGGCCTTCCGCAACCCGCTTGGATAGCGGAAACTCCACAGTCAAGGCTGTCGGCGCGCAGGCGCAGTAGCAACTTCTTCGTTGCGGAACGTTAAGCGGAGGGGGCAGCGCGGTCTACGAAAACTCCCTATTAACGATACCGGACGCTTCGCCGCCGCCTTTGCGGATCCCGTGTGTGCTTTATGTGCGCGGCGGCCCGCTACATTTAGAGGGGAATCACAGTGTTACGTGTCGTGATGTCCCATGACGTCAGAATAGAACCACCCCGCAATTCACCCGAGAAAGTTCCGTGATTTGGCGGCAAAATTTCTTCCCTAAATTTAGCAGGGATTTAGTGTCACGTGGAGACTCAGGCACGTAGCCAGGATTTTGTTTCGGGGGGGGGGGGGGGGGGGGGGGGGGATTCATCCATGACAAAATGCTGTATGAGGGGAGGGGGAAAGGAGGAACCAGCAAGATAAAAAATTTCAGCCCCCCCTGAAATTTTTTATCTTGCTCCCCTGGCTACGTGCCTGCGTGGAGTCATGGTGTCAGATAAACGTACAGCGTCTCGGCTGTCACCAGATGGTCATTTGTGGGACACGACGACAAACCGGGAATATTTAACGCGGAAAAGAGCAACCACGTAATATCGTATTCTCATGGCCTTGCCAGAGCGTACTGCCAGCTGTTAAACCAAAATGTTAAAGATTAAAAAGAAAATGATTACCATAGAAGAATAGAAAACAAAATCAAGTTTAATGAGAGAAGACGCAGTCGGGCAGCAGAGACAGCTGAAGCACCGTGCGCGACACTGTTAGCGCGAACGCGACATCGACGCTACTTTTGCTTTTTGCCTCGAAAATGTTAAAACTTGTTTCTTTTTTTTATTCGGGCAAAGGCCGAGGTGTACCATAGTTAACAGAGACGGAATATTTCTTTATTCACAGTCACGAAGGGGTCAACAAGAATAGTTGTCTAGGCAGTGCAGTACTAGGCAATGTGGTATGGAGTGACTATATGAAGCGAGCAAGCCGGCCGCGTCGCGGCGGTCGCCTATTGTTCGTCGCGACCTAGCGGCAGCCGCCGCAGGAGCATCGGGGAGCAATGGCGACGAACAGCACGGAGGGCAGTGTCCCCGTCGTGATTGCGAAGGAATTTAAGGCAGTTACGAATTCGGAAAGTTCCTTCGGTAGCCGGTGCCGTCGGCGCAGAATCATCGGGAAGTAATAGCAACGAACACCACAGAGGACAGTGGGCGATTACAAATCCGGAAAGCTTCTTCGGTAGCCGGTGCAGATTCATCGGGGTGAAGCAATGGCGATGAGCAGCACAGCGGACAGTGTCCCCCGGGGTGATTACGACGGGGTTTAAGGCGGTTGCGAATCCAGAAAGCTTCTTCCGTGGTACCAATATGAAGAAGGGAAAACTCCTTCTTGAATCTGGCCGCGTGTACGACGTGAAGGAGGTCCGTTTCGACGGACAAGTGGATGTCACGAAGCGCCGTACTCCGCTAACAAAATTAAGCGCGCCCGCAAAAAAATTGTGGTTGGCGTCGAGCGGACTGTGGTAATTATGTACGTTTGTTTCTGAATCAGCTTGACAATAACTGGGCGTTTTTTTAAGCGCCGTTCCGCGATTCCCATGGTAGGCTGATGGAAACATCCAAGGGTAGGCTTAGGTGGGCGTCCGCATTCCGCTTTTGGTTCCGGTGAAGTATTTGCTGCATACTTTAGAGTTTGCCGTCGGTGTCGATGCTGTTCCATCGTCGTTAGAATAGAAAAAAAAAACTTTTTTTTCTTTTTTTATTCGTCAGCAGCTTAAACAAAGCTCGAAATGGAAGGTAAGAAACGCCACTAACCTGTATGGACGCGCACCCAGGTCGCGCAGTACTCCGCCTCGTACGGCTTCGAAGGGACGATGTAGTACTTCGTGCCGTGCGCGATCTTCGACTAACTGTCTCAGAAATTACAGCGCTAACCCACTACAACGCACAACCAACGCAGCGACTGGCAGAAGCCCCCCGATGCAATGGACCCGTTTGCCGCTAGGGGCGCCCTGGTCGGGGCTTGAATTAGATGCGCACGGTTCCTATACTCCACTCGATTCCATTCGTCTTCAGTGCGAGCTTTCTGCCCTTGCTAACACAGTGTGAACGCGAAGGAACGCGGAACCAAAGCACTGCGAAAGCTAGCGAGCTCGCGCTGAATTTCTTGTCTCACGGAGTATAGCAGTATACACCAACGCATGTTTACAAACAAACCGGAGCGCCCCTAGCGGACGCCACCGGCGCCGCGCATGCGCGATGGGGGTGTGGGCAAAAAGCTCGCCGTCGCCCATAAACAAACCATTGAAATGCGATGTTGTCGGCGTCGGTGTGAGTCCCCCTGCCCTTTTTCGCGTTCGAATTGTTGATTCTACGTCTTCCTTGCGATCTCTGACTACTTGAGCGGTGTTAGCGAAATTACCGAGGCTCGTTACACCGCGAAACTTCGCGTGAATAATGTGACATGTGGCGATTCATTCCGCGTGGACGCCGCAGTACGATAAAACCTGATTCGCATAATGAGATTTCGCTCGCAATTTTCAGTCGCGACGCCGCCCGGGCTGCAAAAGCTTGTACTGTAGCTGAGATAGTCGACGTCGATACTGAGAATCGCAAGCAGAATCGGACTAAGTCAATTAGGCATAGCAAGTCAGTGATGGTCACTCGTTACAATGATCATCTCCTTATATTTACTGTTTACATCGAGCCTGCTTACCAACCTTCAAACTTAAGTCTTTTGAGGCCTGCACGTACTTCGTAAAGTAAGTACCGGGCCAACATTTAATCTACGGCCGGCGTCGTCTAAGAGAGCAGACGACAAGCAGAAACGTTTGAAAGAGCAGACGACAGTTCGAACAATCAGGCGGCTGTTTGAGCTTGAAGACGCACTGAACGCACTGAACGTAGTCCACAGGTTGTCCGCACAACTTGACAGTTTTCTGGCGTTCATGTTGGAACAAAACAAATAAATCTGATGACCACAAGTGTCCGTGAATTCAACCCAAAGTGCTTCCCGCCCAAGCAATCGATGTCCGACGGCGTCTGCTTTTCCCTTTTCATGGCACATATCTAGATTCTCGGACGAACCGAGCACGTGAAAACCGACCTTCAAACCTTTCTCGACACTTTTGGTACGGCCCCAGTCGCGGCGTTTTGACGAGAAGGCAGGTTTTTGTCTGGTTCCTTTCAAAACAACGCAGGAATACACGTCTGGCATGGGGACTTCTGCCCACAGCCCCAGACCGGAAGTGCGACCGACGCGCCACCACCGCGCCGTGTCGTCACAGAGATGAGTTGGTGTATAGCGGTCGTTCTGACTAATTTATCATCTACAGCGGAGTCAGCGGACGTCCATTGAGGCTGACTAACTTCCCGTTGCCCATACAGCATACAACACAAGTACAAATCACCGCACACCTTTGTGATGGTTCATTTTAAACACTGAATCATCGCGAGTGTTAAGAGACGGTGAACCGAATCTGGATCTAAAAAAAAAAAAAAAAAAATTCAGGAGATGGTGGCGGGACGCTACAATCCCTACAACACTACTCGTAAGGCGATATCTCGAATGGACGGCCGTATTTTTGGAGAAAGCGGTCGAGATTGAACGAGGCCGACAAGGCGCTCGACGTCAAGATATCTCGTTTCCTCCTCTCTTCGTTTCGCCCCCTCGAGACGGCGAGGCGGAGAAGACGTGAGGCCGTTCCCTCTTCTTCTCGGAGAAATGAGACGTGAACATATCTGTCAAATGCGACTTTTTTTATTGAGAAATACGGTCATCCGCCTTAGATAATGGTGTATGAGTGACGTTTTGGTGTTTGTAGCATTCCGTTGCACGACATTGTCGCCGTGTTTTGTAGAATCCAGATTTCGGTTCAGCATCACTTTAAGTGCCACTTTAATGTCCATGTGTTCGTTTCATATTTGATCTTCCTCAGTTTTATAGCTAATTGTTTGGTTGCATTTTAAAGTTCGGGCCTTGAATTGTATATTGGGCCTATATAATTTTCTTTTGTCATCCACGTTTTTTTTTACGCGATTCCAACGTGGATGGAATAGCCAAACGAGCAAGCAAAGATTGGCTTCTCCTAATCGTTCGACGGAAAGTTCCTTAAGAGTGCAATCGGCTCGATTGCCCGTTTCCGGAAAATGAAATCTATACACCAACTCATGTTTACAAACAAACCGGAGCGCCCGGAGCGCCCCTAGCGGACGCCACCGGCGCCGCGCATGCGCGATGGGGGGTGGGGGCAAAAAGCTCGCCGTCGCCCATAAACAAACCATTAAAATGCGATGTTGTCGGCGCCGGTGTGAGTCCCCGCGCTCTTTTTCGCGTTGGAATTGTTGATTCTACGTCCTCCTAACGATGTCTGACTCCTTGAGCAGCGTCAGCGAAATTAACGAGGCTCGTTACACCGCAAAAGTTCGCGTCAATAATGTGACATGCGGCGATTCATTCCGCGTGGACTCCGCAGAATGTACGCTAAAGCCTCATTCGCATGATGAGATTTCGCTCGCAATTTTCAGTCGCAACGTCGCTCGGACTGCAAAAGCGTGAACCGCAGCTGAGATGGTCGACATCGATATTGAAAATCTAAAGCAAAATCGGACCATGCGAATCAGGCCTAGCAAGTCGGTGATGGTCACTGGTAACAATGATCAACATCTCCTTGTATCTGCTGTTTACATCGAGCCTGCTTACCAACCTTCAAATTTAAGTCTTTTGAGGCGTGCACTTACTTCTTATCGCAAGTACCGGGCCAAGATATGGTCTACGGGCCGGCGTCGTCTAAGAGAGCAGACGACAAGCAGACGACAAGCAGACGACAATTCGAACGATCAGGTGGCCGTTTAAACTTGACGCACTGAACGTGGTCAGCACAACTTGGCGGTTTTCTGGCGTTCATGTTGGAACAAAACAAATAAATCTGATGACCACAAGTATCAGTGAATTCAACCCAAAGTGCTTCCCGCCCAAGCAATCGTTGTCCGACGGCGTCTGCTTTTCCCTTTTCACTGCACATATCCATATTCTCGGACGAACCGAGCACGTGAAAACTGACCTTCAAACCTTTCTCGACACTTTTGGCAGGCCCCAGTCGCGGCGTTTTGACGAGAAGGCAAGTTTTTGTCTCTTTCTTTCAAAACAACACAGGAATACACGTCTAGCATGGGGACTTCTGCCCACAGCTCCAGACCGGAAGTGCGACCGATGCGCCACCACCGCGCCCTCTTCTCCCCTTAGCCTTCATCGCATTGAAATGGTGTTACGCCGGCCCATTTCACCACGGGTCGCATAAACACATTGCTCGGATCTGGTGTGCTTGATGACGATACCCGAAGAACTCTGATACCGCGTGATCTTTCCGTTTCAACATCATCGGATTGAATCCCTATACAGTGCGGAATCTGTGACCGCCGCCTCCTTCATCATCGGTTCCTGCCGCCGTGTTTTCGGTCGTTCCCGGCTGCGGCTCTCATCCGCGGCCGCGGAGTCAACAGTGGCGAAGCATGTCCCATCTTCATCTTCGCAACATTATCTTCTATCAGCTGCACCCTCCCCATCTAACTAATGATTACCCTTCGGCCCTCGGCTACGACCCGTGCCCGTCAGTATTTCCTCTCTCTCTCTCACGTTTCCTTCTCTACTTTCGTAGGTGAGCACGGGCTCCCCGAAAAAAATAAGGGGCATATAGGAATAGTTTGTTCGAGTCATACAGTCAGACTCATTGAATGACTAAATTTCAGCAGTGAGGAGGCTCGGGGATGTTGAATATTTGGGAGCTTCATAGTCAACGCGAATCTTTGAAATCATAAACGACTCTATTGCGCCAGTAACCCATAAGAAGGGCGAAGAACCAGCCACAAACCTCAAAGCGCAGCGCGTTAAGCACCGCCCCGCGTTCCTGGAGTTGTCGGTGCCTCTCATCGAATGAGACCCTCCCGGAAGTCCCCACGTTGAAAGTGGCCGCTATCAAGCGACTGTGACGTGCTCCTGGCGAAGTGAAAGGTTTGATTTTAGTTAAAGATCATGTATACGAACTAATAAGCGGCTTAAGCGTTCAGTCGTGAGGAACAAGTAGGCTACGCGTAAACCAACTCACACGCAGCTTTGTCTTTTTCTAACATGTATGTATATATATATATATATATATATATATATATATATATATATATATATATATATATATATATATATATATATATATATATATATATATATATATATATATATATATATATATATATATATATATTGTTGCTATATACGGGAAACGAAATATATTGAGTGGCCAAAAAAGTAAGAGTCCACACCACAGAAGTCTATACATTTTACCGTATAAACCACGTTTGAGTTGATAAAAGATCGTAAACATTTTTTTAATACCCATGACGTAATTATTGTGCGAATAAACGTACAAGGCAGGAAACTTTAGGACTCAATCTTCATGTCACATTAAAAATAATGAGAGGTTTAATTATGTGCATCTTAAAGTGATTTAACCTTTTTTCCTAATTTCGTAACAGTTCTAAAATGACGACGCAATCAGTATACTCGCGAAAAACTTTCTGTGACATTTTAGAAGATTGAAAGGACGTGTAGGCACAGCTCTGATGGGAGCTCCAGACTTGCGAGCGCACGGGCGCCCATAGTTTCGACTGCATAGCCACAGAAAGTTATCCGCCAGTATTACATCGTATATCCCTGAAATATATGTGAATGTGTCTGAACCGGTACGTGCGCTGATATATCTATAGATAAAGAGTGACACTAGCTTAAGCAAATAAATCCTGCGGACAGAAATTAACAAAACATCACGTAAGATCGGTGGTTAGTGAAAAAACACATAGAAACGAAGAACCAGTCGAAGAGCGGCTACGGGCAGGATATCACAGATTCGAGCAAGCTGTCCGTGAGCGTCCCTACCGTCGTCTTGATTCCGCGTGTCAGCACGCGGAAAGGAAGGAACTCGGTGAATTCGTCCAGGGAAGATGTGACCACGTCCACCAGCGGACATACGAGGGATCGGACAAGATTCAGCTGAATGTCTTCGGGGGCCCCGGAGAGGATACAGCTGAGGGCCCTTACCAGCTCACGCACGACAGGGTCGGTGACGGGCGTTCCTTCGGCGCAGAACAAAAGCGTCCTGTTCATACAGTGGCCGACGTTGAAGCCGCTGGGAAGACCGACCTGCAGAGGTCGGCCGCATGTAGTGTTTCTGGCGTTGGTGTTACCGCAGTTGAAAATCGGGAGTCCCAGCGGTCGACAGAGGATCTCGGACAAGGCCCTGACGTCGAAAGAAAGCCCCAGTCTTTCGAGGACGACTTCAAGGAGGTCAAGGACGCTGTCAAGCACTTGTACTGGGTCGCCTACTTGAGGCAGGATCTCAAGAACGCAACGAGTGATGGTTTGGAGGTCTAGCAGGAGGCCATCCGACGTGTCTGGACACGTCACGAGTGTTTTCCCGAGACAGGACCCCAAGTCGAGAACGTTCGGTAGAGTAACGTTGATGCATTCTGCGTTGGCAGTCCGTAAGGCCAGGAACCCCGAACAGGAAACGAAAAGGACAACCTTTAGCAAACCCATGATTTCCGCGAAAGTCGCGAACTTCAAGGCGCGCTCGCTTGGCGTGCCAGGCTGCCGCTATGCTCTTACGGCTGCCTCGGATTCTTGGCTGGTGATCCTACTTTGCGATGTATCGTTGAATTACTTTTTTGAAGTTTAAAATTCTAAACTGCGAGCGCGGCTTCGAAGCTGGATTCCGTGCTGTTGGGCAGGTCTGACTGAGCAGTTATGAAGAGCTGCTTTTAAAAGTTCTAGCTATTACCTGTAAAGTGTAGAGGGCGCGGAAGGGGAGTCAGACATTGACGGGTTCTTTCGGTGAATAATTCCATTGTCAATAGTTATGGGGCAGCAGTGACATCATACACGCGTCCTCTGGAATGTCTATTGTGTCCGGAGGAAACATTGGGGACGCCCTGTGCAATAACAGGATGGAAAGTTTCTCGACTTTGTGCGATCAAGTGACGGAGTTTGAACACTTCCTGCTCATTGGATACCCCTCTGTTTCTTGTTTGACGAGTTTGTTTGCACTTTGTCATCGGTGTCATTGCGTTCCATGTATTTTACGTCTCACTTGGTACGTCTCACTCGAAGACACGTCCTTGTTGATATTTTAACTGCTTGAGCATTGATGACAGTTCTGCTGTCACTTTCGGACCCGGGGTTGTTTGTGCGAAATTTTTAGTGTAGTTCTGACGCTCGGCTGAAAGAAAATAGATATGACAGACGTTCATCTTTTTGTGCCTTTTTGCTTTGACTGCGGAGGTAAGTTTTTTTCACCCCAGTATGGGGTAGTTTCAGGATAATGTTCATTTCCTCCAGCCAGCCTGCGCTTTTACTGTCACTTAGTTGGAAATGAGGATTCAACGTTTCTGTCCATCTCGGAACTCAGCCAACATGTTGTTAGAAAAACTGGGAGCTTGGAGTAAGCCACAGTTGTCGATGTTTTATCTAATCTGAAATACCAGGTTGCATTGACACCATATGCCTAATTCCTGTCAAGTGCCATTATCATGGCACTCGTAGCCTCATATTGGGTTGATTTTGTCATCTTTCTTTGGCAGATTGGGCTCGTCTACAGCCAACTCGATTTCCTTATACACTTGGGCAAAGTTTTTCTCCCAAATGCAATGAGTTGTTTCTGTTCTGATTCGATGACAAAAATAAATAAAAGACCAACTCGAGGTCGTGGAAAATAAAGTAGCAGCAAGGAGGTCGCAAGAGACGTCCATGTATAAAGTATACGAATATATTTTAACTAATATTTTGTGTTTTCGGGCTTAATTTTTTCCTTAAATTCAGGGCCGTAGTTTCGGCGTTTATTCTTCTTATATATTCGATGCTCCACTTCGGCGCCGGACAAAAGAGCGACGTTTATCGGGGATCACATTGAAGAAAACAAGACACGGGCATGAGGTCCCCTATCCTAAGAAAGATTCACGCATGCACGTAACACGAATAATTCGAAAATGTCCCGATACCATTAACACAAGGAAACAGGACAATAGGTGTGATTTTTCAAGAATGAAGCAGCCTTGCAGACAGTTCAATGCGGGCTGGGTTCCGGCGGAACGCAGTTCCCCGCTGTAGTTAAAGAGTTCTTTCCGTGAACCTTGGTTTGTTAATAAAGTGCATTCCCTCTCTCTTATTTAAGAACAGCTCGCTTTTTGTATACCCCCGGTTTTAATGAAACCGGCTAGGGGGTTATTTTGGGTGGTAATTCGTATATACCGAAAACACAAAACCTAAAATGAAATCCGTTTAGGTGGTCATCAAATATTTCAGTCACAATATCATCATGCGGTCATCGCATCAAGATCCACTGCGGTTTACGCAGACCAAACCCGAGCTCAGCGTCGTCGTCTGTGGCTCCCCTGATCGCGTTTTTAAGTTACCTTTCTGCACGGCACTTGGAGAGCCAATCTGCGATGTAGTTAGATGGGGGCATCCGGGGTCATGGCAAAGTTTTGATCTATAAACCAGAAAAATACATAAGGTGGCATGTGGCAAGCCACATAGAAATTGTTTCGCAATATGTTACATCGCTGTTCTAGTATCTAAACACTTTACTTCTGCTTGTCGTCGGCTCGGCAACTTCATTAGAGATCAGTAAGTGACGATCAAGAAGCCCATATGAAACAATATGCTGGACGAAGGAATATTGCTGTCAAAGCGAAGATACAGGCGGAGTTGTAGAGGGTTGGGACAGAAGTGCACAACCACCAACACGAATCCCCAAACGCAGCTCAGTTTCATTCCCCAACACAGTGGCCTTAAATTATCGTATGTATTCTGTGGAGTGAAACATCACTGTTTGGAGGTTCGCTTTTGTGAATATTTTCGTCCAAACACATGAGGACTAAAAGGTCTCCGTATTACGTTGCATTTAAGTAAAATGAAATCATTAAAATACCTTGAAAATATGAACCGATATTATCACGAGAAGGAAGATGAGCCGTTCTTATATTGCACGTTTTGTCCAGCGTCACAACCTAGTTCGCAGCAGGGTTTTGATTTTGAAGGATATTTCATCTAGTTAGAAATGCAAACTAAAAGAAAAAAGAAAACAAAAAGTCGTCGAGTGGCAAGTGTAGTTTGCGAAGAGTAATTTTTTCGCTAAGTTTTCACTCAGCTGTGGTCATATAGTGTTGTTTATATTTCTAAACTAGGGCTGATTTGTTCTTCTTACAACGTGTGTTCTCCATTTCGGATAAGGCGTACACAATTTTCTCTAAACGATTTTTTATTATTTTAATTTTAAATAACGAATAGAAAGCCGCAGTAAGAAGACGACAATAAGGCGGATATTCACAATCATGTCTTGGATGTTTTTATGCGTGCCCTAAAATGGTCCATCAATGTGACTACGGTCAGGGGTTAAGAAGCTCCGAAAACACATTTTTAACAAGAGTTCTTTCCTGCGTACTTTGTCGATGAGGATGATATGTTAGGCGCGCACGCCGTAATTAACAGGAGGGCGCGGATCCTACCAAAGTGGTCGTCAATTGTTGCACCGTTCTCGTGATTCCTCGGGTAAGAAAGCGAAAGGGCAGGAACTCGGTGAACTCGTCAAGCGACGAAGTGACCACGTTCACAAGAGGGCACACCAAGGATCGAGCCAGGTCCAGCTGAAGCCCTTCGGGTGCCGCAGAAAGGATGCAGCCAAGAGACCTGACGAGTTCGTTCAGGATGGGCTCGGTGATGGTCGAGCCCTCAGCGCAGAACAGAAGCGTCGTGTTGAGGCAGTGGCCGATGTTGAAAACGCTAGGCAGGCTGATATCGATAGGTGTCTCGCATGTGATGTTGCCAGGACTGATGGCGCCACAGTTGAAAACTGGGAGTCCCAACGGTTCACAGAGGATCTTCGAAAGGGCGCCGATGTCAGGCGACAGTCCCAACCTTGCGACGACAGCTTCGAGCAGGCCAACGAGGTTATGCAGTACCGATACGGGGTTGCCAACTTGAGGCAGGATCTGGAGGACGCAGCGGAGGATCCTAGCGAGGTCCACCAAGAGGCCATCGGACGTGTCCGGGCACGTGACGAGAGTTGGGCCGAGGCAGGATCCCAAGTTGAGGACGTTGGGTAAGGTTACGTTGATGCACTTTGCGTTAGCAGACGGCGAAATCAGGAGACCTGCTCCTAGAATAAGAAGGCAAATTTTGATGGGGCCCATGGTTCACGATGATGTCCCGTTTTACGAGATACTACCAGAATTGAGGAATTTCGATTCCGTCTTAGAAACTGCGGTACCCACTGTCAGAATGACTCGATTAGGGAATTTCAGTAATTATATGATGAGTTTAGAATCTGTGAGCTTGACTTGGAGGCGAGTGAGGCGTCTGACTGAATGTCACGAAAAGGAACCCTTTTAAAGGTCTGCTTTCCTATGCAGTAGAATGCGCAGAAAAACAACGTGGCATTGACGTGGGGCATACGTCAAAGGATACTGTCACCACCAGTGACACTTCAGATTTGACGCTTGTATTTTGAAGCGTGTTTTGTGACAAAAACAACCAAAAAGACTGTCGTCACCGGAAGGGCTGTCCTCAGCCTCGGTGGTTTGGGTCAGACATTCTAGCTTTTAATATTTTCGTATTGTTAGACATCCGCAATATTGTCACGCTTTTTCCCCTCCTTTTTCGTACAAGCTAGTTTTACGTTGTGCACATGGAATTCATTATAAAAGTGTTGTTTCACACAAACTGTTCTAACTTACGCGGGGATTCTTCTGTGAGCAACCGACAGGCGTTTGCTGTTACTTGGCCGTTTTTGGATGCAGTATACACCAACACACTATTTACAAACAAGTCCGCGTTCGCGCACACCAAGTGTGGTGGGTCCCGCGTGTGCGCAGAAAATAGAGCCGGGAGGAGTATCCGCGCATGCACAGTGCCGTGACGTCAGATAGTTGTGTTGGTTTATAGCTCTAAGTCTGAGAACACACAGTATCCTAAAGCTGTCTGCATTGAGTGTGGTTTCTCGTTAATTATCGCTGCAATAAGATAATGACGCGAAATTCGTCACCCGGATCACGTTCACTGGTCTACTGCCAGCCACGACACTAAAAATGGCATCCAATTTCAGAAGGAAACAGCTCAACAGTCCCCACAATGGAACAAAGGACGGGTGGTTCGCGTCCATCAGACAAGTTAAGGCAGGAAAAAGCAAGTCAAGCGAAAATGCCAGCAACCAAGTGAAATGCACATCACCAAAGGAATGAATAGAAGGATGTCGATGAAGCGGAAACCTCGAAAAACATATTGCCAAAGGAATGAATACGAGTGTGCCGATGAAACGGAAACCTCTAAAAGTTGACACCGAGTACATTCAAGGTTGAGGGAAGCCCCGCAGTCGCTGACCTTGGGGGTTCCCGACCTTGTTGCTGGCTCGGAACAAGATGAGTGAGGGTCGCGAAGCCAGTGCATAGGGCGTGACATGGTATTTTCGAATGTTCTCAAATGCATCACCGTAGCGTGCGAATTCTGCGAGCATTGTCGTACTGGTATAGGAGGAAAACATGTTCAATTTAATGTCAAAGTAACAATGTCCGTTACCTTCGTTGACGCATATCAATCGGAATGTAATTCGGTTATCATTCAGTAGAAGCTGGAGTTGTATGCTTCTAATCAATTAGTGGTGCCAATAAATTGTCGCGAGTGATACCTAAAAGTGATTAATATGCTAATATCTAACCTCACACGAAGATATATTTTTAAATTGTGGTATAGCGTCAGCCGGTATGACATTATTATTTTATTTAAAGAAGGGCGCACTTTCAGGTTACAGATTGTCAAGTACTGAAAAACAATGTAGTTTTTTAGAATAACTGCAATAACGGCAGTAGCAGATATAAAATCAAAACAAAACAAATAAAAGGAATGGATGGTATTTCAGCAGTTATTTTATTAAACTTTTTTTTTCATTAATACACAATCAGTAGAAAGGGCTATTCAGCAGAAGGAAAGCCGGTACAGGCATAACATTGCGCAAAAAGAATTACAAAGAAGGAGCGATTTCGCAAGCTGTACAGTTGTTGACTTTTTTGTTGTTTTTATTTTTAAGTGTCACATCGGAGAACAATTTCGTGTCGGAGAGAAATAATTTTCTATATTCGTTGAGAAATCGGGTTTATAGACATTTTACGTGTACCCTCGTCCTCAGCCACCTAGTAGGCGTATCCGTTATGGGCGACCACAAAATAAGGCAGTGATGTCTCGTTAATACGGGCACTTCCGTTCCCCCACAAAAAATCGTCCATAATTTGAGTTATCCGTAATAACGAGACAAAAATGCGTGAATTGTTTTTTAGTTTCTTCCCGAAAGTGGTGTCCACACAGCGGGGCATCCATAGTTATGGGGTCCATATTGACGAGACACTATTGTAAAACGTGATAATGTGGATGCTTGGGCTGGTTGGTCATTCATGCTTGGGTGGAACAGCGCGGGTATACAGTCACACCTACAGCCTACAGGCATACAAGGAGAAAACAGACTCGCAGCGCTGACTAACAACTCAGTGATATATTTCTTCTTCCTCAAAATGTCATATTCTCCTTCGCCGTTAAAGAGGACATTTACAACTTTTTAAACACCAGGAACCAAATATCCAAGGAAACATAAATAAATAAATAAATAAATAAATAAATAAATGACAACAAAAAATAAAAGTAAAAATAAATAAAAAAGAAATTAAAAAGTTAATAATATTTTACACTACTATAATTTTTTAAAGTAAAAAATAACTTAAAAATTTAAAAATAAAAATAAGAAAAATAAAAAATAGCTTAAAAATTTAAACATAAAAATAATAAATATAAAAAAATAAAATTAGAAAAAAATATAAAGATTAAACGAAATATTCCCCATCACTAAACGTTTCCACCTGTATATAGTGAGTAAAAAAAAGTCGAGCCAAAATGAGAATGTATGACGGTTACGCTCATATCCTAAATGCCTTCTATTGGCGTGGCGATGGCAAAAACAGTGTTTTCGCCCATACTGGAAGTGACGACGATTCAAGATGGCGGCGCCCTCCGTTTCACTATGGTGCCTGGAACGCGTCTCCGACGGGTGTGTTTACCGCGTCCAAAAAAGTGGTCCCTCGATTTCCGCCTGATGACGTCCTACAAGTGTCATGCAGTCGCCGGTCGCGATCCTGGCGGTGTCCAAGCAGGGGTGCTGGATGTTGCAGACGCCTGTTCTGCTGCAAGTCGCTTTCCAGTGCGGCAGTCCACGGAAGCTACGGCAGCCGGAAGTTGGGACGCCTGGGGCGCCGCGCCGACGGCGGCACTCGCCTTCGCTCGTGCTTTTCGCCAGCATTTCTATGACCAACTGCCAAGATCGCGACATTCACCAGCATGACACTCCGGCTTCCGTGACGTCATTGGTTGCCGCTTGCGGACCACTTTGGATGTATGGACAAGATAAGATGCTGAACTCACCAGGCTTAGACGCGCTTCAGGAACCATAGTTTTACTTCCGACCGCGGTCGATGTTCCGATGGACCTAATCAAACAGCTCTAAAAGATCATTGTCACTGCGTTCTTCGTCCTTTTTGCATTTGTTAACATTGACTACTAAACCAATCACGCACAATAAAAACGCCATGATTCTGCGCTTTTCTGTAGCGTGAGCTGCACTGGCCGAAGTTGAGCAGTTTCGCGTGGCTCGCATAATGAGCCGTGCTCCGTGCTGCGCATGCGCGAGGAGCAGTGACGTCACACGGCGCACAGCTCGCGCGCCGGAGCCGCCGCCGCTGTGCGCTCCGCCGCCGCTGCGCCCGCCTCGCCGGTCTGCGCATTCCAGAGGAGTGACGTCATAGCCGCGGCAGACGGACTGGCGCCGCCGCGTGCCCAGCTGTGCGCCTCCGTTGAGCAGTAGCCAAGTCTGACGCTGCACCAAGCGGCTTGATAGCGCCTCTCATTTTGTGCGCATAAGCTCACGCGACGTATATCCTGGCATAGCTGAGCTAAGCCACCGCAATTTTTTTTCTCTTTTGTGCGTCATTGGTTTATTTGACACCTTTTAGAAACTAAAGCCCGCGCACTTCGTCTAATGACGTCAGGTGCGTCACAACAGCTAGGCCAAGCATAGAGAGCCATATGACACGGGCCCACAACGATTTTGTTTTGTGTGTGTGCATCGTTATTTTTGTTGTGTCTGTGCGAAGCGGCAAATACGAAAGTGTGTTGCAGGTTTTGACCTTTGAAGCGTCTTGCATGGCGGTGCAGATTTTACGAAGCAAATAGCGGCGCACAGCAGAACACTGAACTGAATGACGCCATTTGGTTCCAGCGGAATGTGATTCGTCATTAGCATTGGTTATCATGGCTTGTAAAAAAGAGGTATTAAGGGACTTTAGTTGTTACGACTAAATCTAATAAAACGCCAAAAAAGATGATTACGCGACATGAGGAAGCTACTTTATCAGACGCCAGACGGCCCGTAGTCAAAGAAGAGCAATACAGCGGATTTGCGACGTAGAAGGTCGCAGAATATGTGGAGACAAGTCACGTACCCAGGGTCAGCGGCACCCGGGGCGGTGGTCCGCCGCGACCAAAATCCCCCCTTCCCTTTGTCTTTTATTCCTCAGCTGCACTCTCCTGAGCCCTGCACGAAACTTAGTGTTCTCTACCGGGGTGTTGGAGATATTGTGCCAGGGAATCCAAGGGTCCTGTTTTATTTTTTCTAACTGACGAGCAACGATGCGATGCAAAACTCCAACAACACTTTCAAGAGACGAGCTATTCGAAGGTACGCTAAGCGCTTTCTCAGCTGTCTTTTCCCCTTACACTTTTATAATGATACTGTGTCCCGCGAGGTAATAGTTCTAAACCACCCTGCACTTCTTTTTTCCAGGAGGCATCTTGTAGGGATTTGTAGGACGAGCCATGTCTTTCGACGCGTTCTGAAAAAATTTTGTTGGTTTTAGCATGCTAACTACCTGCTCATAATATTGTGTTCTTTGTTCACCTTGTCTGGAAAGCGACGAAGAAACGTATGTGCCATCACTCTTACATATTATTTCTTGTTCTCCCTGTAGTTCAAAAGCCACACATTCTCAAGTATAAGGTCACAAATTTGTAACGATTTACTCTAGTTGTATTACTTGCCCATAATATCTCCGCTAAGATTTTAGAAAGCATAGTACGATGACATCGATACAAACCATATATTGCGCAAATGTGCACACCCTGAATATCCGAGCAGTTGTGGGCGTCTGTCGACAACATTGATTGGGGTTTTACTGTGCATTCATATTGCCTGTCTCAATCAAAATGGCGGAACAATTATTGTTTGCTCTCTGTTGTCAAGTTTTGTAAATCATTTCGTAAAAACGAAAAAAAAAAAAAAAAAACGTTTGTAA